AAAGGTAATAACGATGCATCTAATTTATTTCGGAATTCTATGAAAAAAAATATTTTGGATAAAGAACAGGCCCAGTGGATTAAAGCTCGGTTTAATGGGTACTTTCTGTCGGAATAGGCCTTTTGCATTAATTGATCACGTGCTCAACTTTCGGTGAACACGAAAACAATTCGCTTTTGAAAAATTTTGAAACCTTAGTATTAGAACATAGAAAGAATTTTGCATAAGTTTTACTCTTAATAGTGTTATCCTGAAACAAAAGGAGACGTGGAAGGAAAGCCTTCATTATTAGGTCCCATTTGAAAATTATATTGGCGCGGGTTTGATTTGTAAGAACATGTCAAATGAACTTCAATGATATATTATAAAGTAAAGAAAATGACAAAAAATGGCCTTATAATTTTTTGTTAACATACAAAGCTTTCATTTTCGAATGAAATATACTAAGTATTTACGTAATCTTGTTTAAGGTAAGTTAATTGGGGGAGTGTAAATCTGCACGAAATGTTCTTAAAAGTTTAAGAACTTTACATACTAGATTTCTTATGCCCTTAGAGTTAAATATTCAGGAGCATCCAACGACGGTTTCCTCCGAAATCTCTAGAAATGCATTCTAAGCGACGCTATAAAATTTGTACCTGTTGGGTCATATTGGGTAACTTGAGTCTTTTCGAAATTACAAGGGCTTCACTATTATTTTCCAGAAATGTTTAGATGCAATTTAACGTTTTACGAAAGTGAGAATTTTCTGATTCCTCTCTCCATTACGTTTTTAAATCCAGAAATTTTAGGTTTACTTTTTTGCGAAAAATATCCTAACCTGGGCAGTGAAGTGTGAAAAATTAAACTTCCGAAAATCTTAGGGAATTTATTAGATAAGCTTCGAAAATTGCACATGAACGGAACAGTCATCTAGAAATTTTTAGCCTTCCTCAAGAAATAAAAAATTCTAGTCACAATTTGCTTCTCCGAACAGATATTTTACAGAAAACAGTCGTTGGGTGCCCTTGAATATTGTAACAAAGAAACTTGGTCATCGAGATAATTGGCACATGCACTGTCACATGAAATGACAACTGATTTGCATTCATATTTATCGAATTTTACTTCTATATACAGTCCTGATGTAAATTAGTCTTTTTTTGCGTCGAATCCAAGACCTTTATTGCAGTCAGAAATAAATCAAATACGAGATGACTGATCCATAATGACTGGTTGATAACTACGGAACGGCCATAAATAAGCATTGGTCGACCGAACAAACTTAAAGCCAAATTCCGTAATCACGTAGTTTTCGGCAAATTACAATTTTATATGAGAGTCCGTTACTTTATGAAGTTGACACTTCGTACTGATTCTTTGGTAGCGGTTTTATGGTTGGCACCTTTTATCATGGACTACAAAGATTAGGAACATATTGCTGTAAATGCGACCTGTATTATTTAGCACTAGTGGATTACAAAAATACGGGAAAGAAAGTCAGTCCTCTGGAAAATTTTGCTGCAGCGGTTTTTTTCCTCGACGCCGATGCCTTACGTCCCGGCATGCCAAGAGAAATTTGTTTTATTCTTTTTACGGGTGGTATAAATAGGGAAAGAGAAATATTTTTCTCTTCAATATGCATGTAATTAATAAAAAGGTTTCTTGCTTGGGCAATAATGCAACTGTCTCAATACTAACGTCACAGTAGAACATACATTGAACCATTCCACTTCACTCTGTGAAACATGAACTTCTTGCTAATAAATCAAAAAAGCTCCCACTGAATCCATATATTACCAATCGGTACTTGAACTTTTTAAAGGATAGAAAACAAATGGTATGTTGCAACAACTTTGAGTGTGACTGGAAACCGGTTAACAAAGGGACAATTCAATGCAGCGTTAGCGTTAAAAAAGCTCCCACTGAATCCATATATTACCAATCGGTACTTGAACTTTTAAAAAAGCTCCCACTGAATCCATATATTACCAATCGGTACTTGAACTTTTTAAAGGATAGAAAACAAATGGTATGTTGCAACAACTTTGAGTGTGACTGGAAACCGGTTAACAAAGGGACAACTCAATGTAGCGTTAGTGGTCCTTATACCTTTTTAACATCTTTCTCAATGATTTTAACATCACTTTAGGTAGTCACGAGGCGCTATTTAAGTACGCTGATGATTCGAAGGAGGTAGACTACGCCGATCAATTAGTGTCACAGTTTTTAGATTGGACGAGTACAAGTGGAATGTCTTGCAATCCAAGCAAATGTAAAGAGTTGACGATCAAAAGGAGAGGCAACCGCGATCTTTATTCACCTATTGGGATGATACCAAGCTGTAAAGAAGTAGAGATTTTGGGCGTCACCTTCCAATGTGACTGCAAACTTATTAAAGCTAACAAATCCCTACATATCCTTAGAACGCTGCGCAAAGAGGGGTACAATCAGTCAGAAATAGACCTTCTCTTTAATACAATAGTTCTACCTAATATTAATTACGCATTATCTGTCTACGGAGCGTCCGAGTCCGATCTTACACCTGCACAATGTTTCTTAGACCGCTGTTTTAAAAGGAAATATACGTCTAAGCCTGTAAGTGTTTATGATTTCTTACAGAGGCAAGACCGTGAAATTTTCAGAAAAGTTTCCAATGCTAAAGGACATCCTCTTTTAATTTTACTTTTATTTATTATGTCTCGTGTTGAACCGTCCAGTTACAATCTTAGGAAAGAAACTTGCTTTAAACCTAAGATTAACATTATGTGTTTTAAAAACTCTTTTATTAATCGTTTAGTTTTTAAATATGAATTAGCTATGTAATATACTAGATTTTTTAATTCTTACTTTTTACCTTTTTAAAATTTTTTACACTTACTTGTAACAAAAGATATGTATAAGCAGGGATGTAAAAAACGCAGAATCAGTTTACAGCTTTAAAAAGAAAATTCGTAAGGTAGATCTTGAAAAAGTAATCACAGAGGGCTGTAAAAACTGCTTTCTATGTTGTACATAAATGACATTTTCTAGACAAAAAGGACACCTCTTGATCTATAAGTATTTTATATGATAAATCCGAATACGTTTTATCGACATTTTTTTTTTAGGACGTATATTTTTGTAAATTTTATTCTTTATAAATAATTGTTTTTATATTAATCAGTTAGAGCTGGTAGTATTTTTATTTAGTGTACCCTATTAATAGGCCTTACATGGCCAGCTAGAAGACCTGACACTGAAATAAAGTTTATATATCATCATCATCATCATCTTTTGATGAATAAAGACTTTATTATTATTATTATTATTATTATTATTATTATTATTATTATTCATATAGTCTAAGTTGAATTTTTTCATACCCGAACTGAGTTAAATAACGAAAACAAAGTTATTTTACTAACAAGCTGTGATTTTTTCACTACACTTTTGGCTGATTTCGTGAAGGATTATGAGATAAACGGCAACATTTTTTATTTCACTCTATAAACTATCCTTCCTTTTCGCGAGTGTTACGCGAACTTTTACTGAGTCGCACCTCAAAACAGGATGAAGGGGTTTTCCGTGATTCGTGATGGGACCCAACTTTTCAGCGTGATGCGTGATCGGGCCCAGCCGCGTGAGGCGTGATTGGGTGTAGTAGCTTGATGCGTGATTTACTATTTCACAACACGTGACGCGTGATTTTCCTTTGAAATTTCCGTGATGGTTAGTATCATTCGAAACTAGAAGCAGAGACATTGAAAATAGATAGTTATGACACCAACTTCTTGCCCTTTTTTCTTGTTCCCCGACCTCTGATTTCCTCAGATCAATTTTCCGTAATGCGTGATAGTTAACACCCCCCACCCCCTCCCCCCTTCCTTTGCCAAAATGTTTACAATTGCTAACATACGGTAAACCGTATTTCCTCGAATTTAATTTGAATTTAATTCTGGTGTCGTAAATAGTTTTTGATGTCATTCTTCAAAGATAAGAAACCTTTTAAAGTTAATTTAAGCCGAAAGCAAACATCTAATTATTCAGCGTATCTGTCAAATCAGTCGTTTTAAGGAACAATTAACCAATGAAGCAAAAGTAGATTTTTATCGGTACACGTGCAAATAGATTTCTTTATATCATTTTTCTAAGATTATAGAGTAGTTGAGTTTGGGATTTAAACCCCGGGGAGGGTTACTTGGGTTAATTGTTGCTGCGTATGTGCCGCTGGCCTCTCAGATCCCCCACCCCATTATAGTCTATTTTATGGGCAATGGTAGACCCCATCTCAGTCACTTTTGGACAAATATGTAATTTTCGCGATCCCAACTTCGTCACTTTCTATTTATGTATCTACCTTATCAATCCTTTAAATAGGTCGTCCAAAAATGAATTGACCCATTTTTCAATAGATTGAATGAAGAACACTTTACTTTTCACCTACAGTACAAATATTCTGGTACGTTTACAAACCGTAAATATGAACAACTTTCTCACCCCAAAAATCCGAAAATGTGCGAACCCATTCTAGTAACTCTATTGAAAATGGGACCCCATTATAGTCAATCCAGTCGTGAAAATGCTACCCCATCCAGCAGCACCTCCCCATTAGCCTCTTATAAGGAAGTGCCCCCCCCCCGGATGTAAACCGAGTACGTTGTGATTGTGAGAGGAAAATTATATGTGTTAAACCCAAGCAACTGTGAGTGTTTTTAACGGAAGTTTTACCGGGAAAATCATTGGGTTGGCAGCAATCGCAAGATTCCCAACATGTCCGAATTGAAAAATATTTCTCTATTATCATCCCAGAAACCGCTAAGTTAGTGAAAAGAACGAGTACAAAGAAGTGGGAAGTGAGCTGCTGTGATTGAAAAACGTTTCAGTCGCAGATAGTTTAGAAAACTTAACGAAATACTGTATTTATTACCTCGAGATTCTTTATTGAGTCATTTACGTAAAAGATCTGCCCTTTTTTACGTTATCTGTTACAACTTGGTTTTAGTTATTTCCGAGGTATTCATCACAGGGTTACATGTTGGTCAACAGACCATGTCCAACAGACCATACACATCTGCGCAAGTCTTGCCGTCGTTATCTTCTTCGGTGCGTCCTCGCAAATCTTCTCCATACCACAGACGCAGCTCGTTGTTCGCAAAGATAGCATGAGGATTGCCGCTTTTTTCGAACACAAGCTCTGGGGAGGAAGAGCTGTATCCTGGCAGATTGTACCATCCAGTGCTCTGGACTGTCGATGCATCGGGAGCCAGTATGTTGTTTTTCTGATCGGTCAAGATTGCACCAAGATTTGGACGGTGTCTGGGATAACATCCCCAGTAGCTGTAGGCGTCTTTTTTTTTGAGGCACGACACCTTTCCCGAGAGGTGCACGAGCTTGAACGATTTCACAAAGATGTTTCCATGGTAGGAAAAACGGCCAAAGTCGTCTCCCTTGGCGCCGAAGCAGACGGGTGACTTGTTGAGTTTCACCCAGCGAAGACTTGCTTCATTGGGGACGGGAAACATCGCCACCATTATGGCAATCATCGGCAGGAATTTGAATTCCATCACTTGAATTTGAGCTACGAAAAGTAGAAAGAAAAAATATAAATACAAGGGCATAGTTTTTATTATTATTTTTAAACCCTTTCCTTTCGCAACTTTCTTGGGGTATCAGTACATTTCGCTTTAGTTGATGTGAATTAGATGGCCCCTCCTGGCTTTACGTAGGAAAATGGGAACACTTGAATCTTTACTAAATTTCTAGATGTTTTTGATGAAGAGTTAAGATTGGATTCAAACACTGAACCAAATGGATGAATCCTATTTTCATTTTGGCCAGTGACTTGAAACGAACATTAAATATTTTTTGAAGGAAATCAAACTTTTTAAATAGATAGTTTCTTTCTAGCGGGAATAATGGAGTCAATTATGATCAACAAACATATCAACAAAAAAAAAGTACGGTAACTGACCATTGCATCTCATATTGAACCTCACACTATCGTAACTTTCATTCACGAATAGAAAAGTGCTCCAAGAATGCTGGAGTTTTAACGCAGTTTGTCAACGGAAGTTGCCTCGGAACACATGCGAATGAGAATCTGAGCGATAATACTTTGGTATGTGTGTGTGTGTGTTGGGTGTGTGTGTGTGTGTTAAGATTGAGCATCGGTTTATGGCCATTTCATGGGTTTTAAATAAAACAAGACGCTGTGGAAGCGAATATTTGGGCGTGGTTGTATTACACGTATGATACTTTTAACGTATTAACGCCTTATTGCAGCTAAACAACTGTCATCATATCCCACCGGAGAAAATAAATCCTTTACTCTTGACTACTTCTTTGCTGAACCACACAGCTTATACAGTATGTTCCAATCCACGACAAAAATCCTGTCACTTCATGACAATGTTTTGAAATGCACATCTTCAACACAGACTGGCTTTCAGCCAAAGTGCAACATAGGACACCACTGCTTACAGCCCGGACAGTAAGGTTTATCTCAGTTCCACTGATACTGACACTTTGAGGAAGATCGACTGGTATGATATGTCTTTTCACACCCATCACATTGTACAGAGTATTCCGGTTACTAACAAGGGCAGATAAAGTTCCTGAAGTCCAGTATCCGCAAGGATTTATAACAGAGTAACACATTGCATAAACTGCTATAGTACTAGTGCAGCTCTGTTTACAGGAACATTTGTAACTGTTAACATTTGATATACTACAATATTCAACACTGCTTGAGAAAAGATCAACTTCAAAGTTGGCAATATGTTCACCTTTATTATATATCCTCATTCCTATATAGACTCTGAAAATATTCTACTAATTTATGCATGGATGGTATTTCAATACACATGTCCCTTCACTATGACTGTTACCATACATATCTCTAGCATGAGAATCAAATACTTTATATCCCCCACGCTCAATGCTGTAGATACCAACACCAATAATTCCCACCGTTAAAATGAATGGGTTGTAGTTGAGAGCCAAGAGTGTTTCAAAAGCTGTACCCAGTGGCATATACAGTCATGTACAGTAGTGATACCTCCTTATTCTGGCATCACCATGCATGTTACAAGTGTAACTTTTACTGTGTTCAAGCTGGAAAAATCGCTCAAACACTGTAACCATTCCTGGCAATTCTGTTAACATTAACATGGATTGTCTTGCAAGCAGTGACAGACCCTTCAAAACCCGTTGTAAATAACAATGTTTTACTCTTTTCGTCAAACAAATGCACGTTTTATATTTTATTACATCCACTTTGAAATCACTGGCTATCCGTGCAATCTGATTGGCTCTCAGCAGTGTGATTTATTCCTAAATCGCACCATTTTTTGCTCTAAATCGCATCGGTTCCAAATCGCGTCATTCATGTTCTAAATCGCATCATTTCTGTTTTAAATCGCACCATTTTTGTTCTATATCACCTCATTTCTGTTCCGAATACAAAATGAGATGTAAAAGCCTGTTTGTTTCGGCTTTGTAACAAACCGGCTACTCGATCAATAACTGAAATATTAGTACTGACTAAATTCTGCGATTTCAAAATGGATGTAATTAAGTGGTAATTGAACTTCGTGTCGTGCAATTTTGGTCTGAAATCATACTTGTGATTTCAAATCGACCTCGCGCTGCGCGCCAGTTCGATTTTGAAATCACGCGCATGATTTCAGACCAAATTGCACTCCACTCAGTTCAATTACCATTATAAATCTTAGCAGCAGGACGCTTGATTGTCATATTTCGTTAATAATTTACTGTATGACCCATGTACATCAGGGTCATAATTTTCACCTCTGATCTCGAACTTACAAACTCACGCTGAGCAGTCCCGAGCACGCGCCAGCTTACATGATGGCTGCCAATGCTGGCGTTATTAAAGCGATTGTAAGCTTTTACCGCGTTAATTCGGATACGGCATTCGAAAGACATAGAAGCCGTATTCCGATAAATGACTTAAATACAGTACATGCTCTCAAAAAGCACCTTATTCAATTCCTTGGTCTGATGGAACTAACAATTAAGCAATTAAATACGGCCTTGGAGATTTCGATATAAAGCTTTATCGGATGGAACCGAAACCGGGCGGGAAAACTGATAACTTCGCCATCACAACGGACTACCAGCGGAAGCTGGAGCTTCCAAGTATGCTGGATGACTCAGGAAGCGAAATGAACAGTATGTATTCTTAGTGCTTGTGTATTTGTTTCATGTAGTGGTGTAAATATAAGCATGCAAGTTTTAATAGTCCGGAAAACCTTCTGGGTACTGCTACACTTTCAGAATATTTTCGCTCTTGTTTTCACGTAATGCACTATATGTAACATTTATTTTTCTTGAAATTATTTATGTTATAATTACGGTGGCCTAATGTATGACTACATTTTGTAGCTTTGCGGCAACGGTGCGAACCACCGCGTGTGCTTGCTTCTCAACACCTTTCCTGGAGGGATCGTTACACGTCAGATTTTAGTGGTGTCCGTTGATCGTATGTAAATTCATACATTAAAACACGCAGTACATCAGCTAAAAACAAAACATTATAGAAACCAAGATATTGCGCCTGTTACCATTTCAAGATCTGGGCGGCCAATACGTGCCCATTTTCGACTTGATTTGTAAGGTATGCTTATAGTAGATATGTTTCATGTTTCACAGGAGAAAACATATTTTGTTTGTTACTCTCTTCCCAACGCGCCTGTTTGGGCGAGTGCAATATTCCCTGATCACTTCATCCCAGCCAATCACTATTGAGCCATTGACAAACAATACCCAAACAAATCAAAAGAACAAAAAAAAAAGAACTCTTCCAATATTTGTTTGTCTTTCTCACGATATACTTCATATATTTTGAAGGTGAATTTTGATGAGCTAAGGGTCTAAGGGTTAGAGAGGAATGTTATGCTCGGGCAAGCAGGAGAGTAAGGATAGAAAGCCGCTTGTAATGAATTCAACTCCAAATTTGAAAAAAAAAGGTTATTAGTGTAGCAATTCTCGAATTAGAGATACAATTTACTTTTAATGTGCCTTTTGAGCTGAATTTTGGATAAAAAAGAAATAACTAAACCACTTAGTTAATTGTTAACAGCCAATTAACTGACAACTGACAAATGGCCTTAAATTTAACTGACAACTGACAAATGACCAAAATTTTAACTGACAACTGACATTTGTACCCCCATCCAGACCCTCCAAGAAGGGTGAAACAGATAGATCCAAGACCCTGCAGGTTTTTTCCGGTTTTTTTTGTTCCGATGTTTGTTGTGGTAACGGTTTTAAGGGTAAATTGATCAGAATTAAACGTTCGCAATATCCGTCCATAACATTTCTCTGATTTCTAAACAGTTCTTGGCTATTCTTTGTATTATAGCTCTAGATAGCTGCGTCGCTAATCTTAGGAGTCCTTAATGTATGAAATACACGAACTCTTTTACGCAAGTAATGAGATGATTTACTATTTTAGCTTTTGAATCTCTGGCTGGAATACCGTATTTATTCGATTAACCGCGCTGGGCGCTTATTAAATTTTTGGACCTTGAAAGTGGTCGCTTATTCGAGGCTTATTAGATTTTCACCATTCTCTGCAAGTGTAGTAGTATATTTTGCAACAAAACAGTAAATTGTAATAACATTAAGCGAAAATGTAACAAAGCAAGGCTTCTGTACAATACTCTGAAGAAAACTGCGTCTTCAGGAGGGTCTCTTATTATCTCTTATTGAAGATAAGAGGCTGTGCGCTTATTAACTTTTTCTGCCGTTATGATGGGCGCTTAATTTCCATAGTAAGCAGAGTAAGGCTTGGTGGTGACCGAAGAAAAAAAAAGTGAAAAAGTTCAATTTTGTTTTAGCCTGCGAGCAAGCTCTCTTGGAGCTCCTAAGAATGAAACTGTACTCAGTTTAACTTATCCTAACGGGGTCTCATTCAATGGTAATACCATTGTAGGATTCTAACTATAGCCTGCGAAGACAGCCGTCGCTCCTCGCAGTCGTCGCTCACTAGCGAGGGTCGAAACGCCCTTGAGCGGCGAGAATCGAGGAGAGACGGTTGTTTTCGCAGGCTATAGTTTGAATCCTACAATGGTATTACCATTGAATGAGACCCCGTTAGGAGATAAGTTAAACAGAGTACAATTTAATTTTTAGGAGCTCTAGGAGACCTCGCTCGCAGGCTAAAACAAAATTGAATTTTTTTCCCTTTTTTTTTCTTTTCGGTCACCACCAAGCCTTAATATCCACATGGAAATCCTGCAAACTAATATTCAGCTATACATAACTTCAAAAAAAAAATGTCTCAGAGAATTCGGTGCAACCTTTTCTTTTGTTAATATATTGATATTGTTAGAAGGCGAGATTTGATGGTCAGTGAAAAGTGTAATTTTTTTAAGATAGATCAAATCAGTGAGATTAAGAGACTCGAGTTTTGCCAAATGAAGTAACTACTTTTGTTTTCCCTGCTTAATGACTATAAGTTTGGGTGTTAAAAAAATCTTCAACAAATTTCAAAAAAACATTATGACATACCTGTTAGTCAATATTCTCTTGGGGATTAAAACTAAAAAATCGTGTCAAACTAACAGTAAAATGATCAATGTGCGTTTGTGTG